CTGGAAGTGCTGCTTCCCAGCTGATTTGCAGAGTTTGGGTTCAAAAAATAAAAGCGTTTGGGGGTTTAGGGGTTAGGGGTATATAGGGTTTCGGGGGTGAGGCTTTAAGAGTTCAGGGTTTAGTGTGATTGAGTTCAGGGTTTCTAGGACTACGTGTTCCTTGATAATGGTAAGGGTACGCTTGAAATTTCTATTACAGGGGCTTTGGGGGTGTAGGGTTGAGGGCTTCAATAGTTTACAGGGTTTAGGGTTTTTGCGTAGGGTTTCTCGAGAATCGTAAGGGTTCCCTCAAGAGTTCTATTATAACAAGGACAGAGGGTTTAGGGCATACAGGGGTCTAGAGGTTTAGGGGAGCCCGGGGGTTTCTTGGATTTTAGTTTTTTTGTTTAGGCTTCCTTGATAAGGGCACTTTCAAGCGAGAGCCGTCGTCGACCGAGCATTAGAGAGCCATTTACCTCACCACCAAAACGCCTAATTTCGGGATGGATAGGACTTCACCGGAGAGATGCTTGAAGGCTTTAGCCAGGCAGACCATACCAAAGGCTTCAGGGATCCCCGGGAGCATACAGATGTCTTCTGTGGTCTTCGCTCTGCTCCTGTAGTATCTCCTCTTGCTTGAATTCTCATGGTTTGGCTTCTTTCGCCGTAAGCTTGGCTGTGAGGTGAAGCTCAAGCACTCTTGTTCACAGCTGGCAAGCTGCTCGGCTGCATCTTTCAGGTCGTTTTGAGAGTTTACTTCACACACTGAAAGTTGAAGTAGGCAAAAGGTGCGCCCTCAAGAAAGTGGTCTCAACTTGCCGCCTTGTCAAAGTTACCATTGGTGCTGATTGGGGCTTAGTTTAGGGCTGGCGTTGGGACGCATGTTTCGGGGGCAGGTAGGGTCAAATCCAGAAAGTGCGCCCTTACCCTACTAGTGGCCGTGAAAAAGTATCGCAATAGAACCCTTCGTCCAGATCCCTTCAACCCCAAGAGCTAAACCTTGCTACACCAGGCTACACCTCGGAATGCAGCACGGCAACAGCGGCAAGATGCGTCTTCTGGGCGGTGACTTCCTCTATGCCGAGGCTAGGTAACCGACCAGCCCCATCAGAACTTCCCTAAAATTTAAGGTGTTGTAGGTTTAGCGACCCGTTTCGAAGGACCACTCACTCGTTGCATGAACAGAGCCAATACCTAGCCACGACATGTACTCTTGTGATTTAGGCACCCCTTGCACATTTTTTTGGTATTGATCCTTTCACTGCCATTTGTTTTGAAGATCAGACCTATACGGGGTCAACGGACGTTGCTTCCCAAACCCCTGCTGCCTCGCCGAGGGCCTAACATCCAGTCCGAGGTACTAGAATCCCGAATCAAGAGGCGTGAATCAACCCCATGGTTTTCGGTGATGCAGGGGGGTTTAGGTTTTTGTGGTTGTTTGAGGGCGTGGCATGTAGTTGATTCAGGATTTCTAGGGCTCCGGGATTCACGGTTCGGGCGCGGAGTGAGACGGGATTTTCTTGTCAAGAAGGGCCCTATGGGAGAGGCGTGCCGAAACCTGGCTGTGCGAGCTATTCTCGTGGACGTCGAGCTGCCCCAAGTACGTCAAGAACTGCCTTTTCACGAGTATGAAGTTACAGTACCCAAGTCCTGTGCTCAAGCCAGCCCCGAGCATCTGAGGGACTTTGCGCAGTTGCTCTAAACTGCAGCGGTCTAGTGACGAGTTTCGCGATTAGAGCCAGAGCCAGCAGCCGCAGGTGCGACAACTTTTACAACCTTAACGAGAATTTAGAGATAGCGAGATCCCACCCTCCCGAAATCAGAAGCTTGAACAACAAACAACGCTGAAGGAGCAGATAACTCTAATGGCCCAAAACAGGAACCCTTCCGAAACCCTAAACCACCTCTAAACCCTTAACCCTGAGTCCGAGATCGTAAACCCTAAACTTCAGGGGCAATGGATGCTCGCCGATCTCGGATCGCTACCGGCAATCCGACTCACCTCGCGGATGATCCAGGAACCCTGCTGGAGAAGGCTTCAGGCTTTAAGCAGTACTTGCCTCAAGGTTGGTAGGTGACTTGCCTATGAATTTTTCAGCGTTGCTGAACACTTCGTCCGGAGGCTCTCGTAGAGAGCTTACAGAAAAGGTTGCGGTCTTGCATGAGGTCGGGGGCTACCACCGAAGTGCCAAGTAATGCCTCACTCGTAGCATTGAAATATCATATCCGCTTAAGGCCCATTATCATGATTCAGGCCCTCGTCTAGGTGCGGTTAGGTCCGGTTCATAAAGATATGTATTCGAGCTTTGGGGGGTACCCGTTTTATGGGTAAGATCATACTAAAAGCAGCAAAGCCCAGCACTACATTTGATACAGTTCCATGCCATAGGTATTCCCTAAACTATACCTGTAACCCCAAACCCCACAATATTTTAGGTTATGACCCCTGAATCATAGGGTCGGTACCCTTAAAGCGATAGGTTTGTGGTTTCACAGGTAGAGGCTTCGTGTCACCATGCCATGAGGGATATGTCTGAGTTCTAGGCTCTGTCTGTGCTCGCGAGGGGGGGTCGGAAGCTGGCGACTCCTCAGGTTTTGGCCAGTTCCCTAAATTAGGGTCCCTGTTTATGTGGGGTTTAGGTTTCCATATGAGGGACCTCTAGGGCTTCCGCAAGCATACTTTATGGGTAGTTCTCTAAATTCGGGTCCCTGTTTATATAATAAGTCCCCAAGATAGTACGGCACCCTTATAAAGAGCCCAAAATGGACCCTAGTTTAGAGAACTGCCCCTTTGGCGTTTATCAGTCATCAGCTTCTCTCTTCGAAATGCGTGCCTAGACTCAGTACAAGAGACCCAGAGGGTCGAAGAGCCAATATCGCAGCCAGGTTCGCCCTGAAACTGCTATATTTTTTTATGTTGTTTCGGCGCGAACCCAGGACCCGAGACACCCCAAATCCGCAACCCAACGGTTCAGGATGTCTCTGACGGTGCGTCGAAGGGGGGCGCAGCCCCAGCCGAGTTGCCGAGCTTCGCTGTGGGCGATGTAGGCACGCCTTTGTTGTGGTTTTCGGTGTGTAAGTGTTCGGCTCAGCTCCGTTGCCACTTGCAGGGGCACGGGCTGCGCTCCATGCAGCGTACCTCCGTGTGGGCAGCTTCTTGCCAGCAGTTTCCACGTGCTTTTCGATGTGTTTCGTCTTGGTTGTAGGGATTATAGGCCCGGGTTAGCGTCCTGATTTCCGCAGTGCTTATATAGGGAATAATTGTGGGCCCAAGCAGCAGGAGCCGATAAACCCTTACATCAGGCTATTTTTCGGCGGTGGCCTCCGGCGCCGCCTGGCTCAGCGGCGCGCCGCGGTCGGTCGTCAAGGCTCTCCGAAAGCGCCTAGGCCATGAACAAACTCGGGTCCGGTGTCAAGGGTTCGAGGCTTGCGGGGATTTTCGGGCTAGATGTTCGGCTTGGAGGACGATAAGAGTTATGATAGATTTACTAGCCTGCGGAGGTGCAGCAGTAGGAGTAATTTCAGGAGCAGAACCAGGAGCGGCAGCAGGAGCAGGATTGGTGGTGGTATCAGCATGGTTACTACATAGTACTATTTGCAAATGCACGTAAATTGATTTGCTGTATTATTCTTACTATTGCTGTTTTTCTTCTTCTTATGATAAGTAGTAGTCGTAGTAGTAGACATCGTCGTCGTCTCTTCAGCTAAGGCACTTCAGCTTGCCTGCTTGCTCTGGAAATCAGTACAAGTTGTATCAGTGTCTAAGCTTCGCGACTGAGGTACGGGACCAATCTTGGCATTGCGCTTCAGTTGGCGCAGTTTCGGGACGATGCACCGTCGCAGGATTGCCGGGTTTGGGGTTATGAAGCAGTGGCATGAGAGCTGCATCTAACCCAAGGCTTTAGTTCAAATCTGCTAATGTGTGCACGGGTGTGCGATATGAGCTGTTTGCATGTTGATTGTCATTACTACTCCTATCTGTGTCCAGAGCTATCGTATACCCTTACCGCGACTTCCCCCAAGCTTCTGCTGATTATTGCCCGTTTCTCGAATCGGAACGGCAACATGCGGAATGCCGTAAGCTTGACGCCCTTCAGAGCGATCATAGCCGAAGCCCGTACATCCTGGCGTTTCGGGACCAGAAGACCCTGAAACCATGAGCCTTTTTCTGTAAAAACCCTTCAGGTCAAGGCGCAAATCTCTTTGAATATCCAAGACTCCTAAGCCCTCAACCCCCATCATGAACGCCCTTTGAGGATGCAGCACTCTGGCTTTCCCGATTTGCAGGGGAGGCAAAAGCCTTGCCATGACGCCTTTAGTTATGCATTTACTGTAGAGGCCTCTTGTGCTTTTAATTGGGGTTTAGGGTTTAGGGCTTCTTTGCTTGGTGGTAAATTGATGTGTGTCCAATTTGCTTGCTCGTCACGTGCTTGTCGGGATCTCGAAGCTGGCTTATGTAAGAAATTGTAAGAAGACCTGGGAATCTGCACGTTGCCTCGCTGCTTAGGCCAAGATACTCGTATGTATGCTGGTTAAGTAGCCCCAAGCTCCGAAAGACTAGACCCAAGACGGTTTTTGAAGCTGAAAACCCTTCCAAAGCCTATGCTTGGGCGCTGTTCCGCTTTCCTGGATCCTCGGGTAGTTCTGAAACTTCCATTCCCGTCTTGAGATCCCAAAGAGTGCTCCAGGCTTTTTGTCAGAAGCCCCAAGCAGTCCCGTGAATTATGGAAGTGCTCCTGGAAATGCTAATCGATCCTGGTTTGGCGGATATCTGCAAGTATTGTGGGTGCTCGGAAGATTCGGCTAGGACCTAAGCCACTGTGAGACTTAGTCTAAAATAATTCGCGGCAAAAACTCCGAGTTTTGTCCAGCGCGAGTCTAGCTATTTCCAGAATCCTTGCAGACTTGGGATGCTCTCCACTCCCTGCCAAGGAGGTTCCCAGGACACGAACCCCCAACATTGGGAAGCCTATGGCTGAGCCCACCAAATGACATTCTGCGAAAGGGATAGTCGTTTTCATAGGTTTAGAGTTTAGCTTGTCAGGGTTTCAAGCTCCACATTTCTTTCTGGGCTCCCTTTAGGAGTTGTTTGTTTACTCTGGTGTGGGCTCTGGGTGTTGTGGTGGCCATAACGGCAGGTGCTCCGTGGCCCAGAGGTGCAGCACCTCCAAGGCAGGTGCAGGGTCTTGTTAAATTCTTATTAAATAAGGCCATGTACAGGGTTTGTGTCTGCAAGGGGTGTGAAGTTTGTTTGTGTCTTCACGAGTTGTGTAAGTCCGTGATATTCGAAGTTTGAGGGCTCTCGCAAATTTGGTGGGTGCAGGGATCCATTCACGCAGGGAACAACCCAAAGAACGAGGCTCAAGAGCATTCCGCCGCCTTTCCTAAGGTCATTGGAGGCTTTCTTGGCGCAACAAAACCTATGCCATAATGGCTCTGTATATGGGCATAGCCAGAAACTGGCCCTGCGAATCTCTGGCAGGTCCCTGCAACAGAACCCGTTAAGCTTGCAAGGGCTCCTACACCCGAAAAGGTCTCAGTGAAAGAAGAGATGCTTTCAACAACCCCTCGGATGGTCACCACAAGATTCTAAAGCTGAACCCTAAAGGCTAAACCCGAGAGTCCAAAAACTTCAGAGTATACTCCTGCATGGAGAGACCCTAGGGGAAATAAGGAAAAGTCGTGTAGAAATTCGGAAACATACTTAAGACTCCCAAAGAAACAGCCGAAAGGCTCGGCGGCTTTGCGTGGCATGCGGCGCCTAGCGCACCGAGTGGAAAGGGGTTCTGGGCAAGCGCTGGAGGCGCGTGCAAAGATGTTGAATTGTTGATGTTGCTGCTGCTGGTGATGGTGATGGTGATTCTGAACCCTAAACCCCAAACCTTGTGAGAGGCATTGAGAGGCTGCCTCTTTACATGGTTTAAATTTTGGCTTGAGGGTTTCGGAGTTTCGGGTCGGGTCACGGGGATTCGGATTGTCCATGTTCTTTTCACTGTGTCGGCTTCTTCGCATCCAAGGAGTCCAAATTTACAATCAAGACTTGTGTGGGGATTCTGAAAGCTTTAGATCGTCCCTAGGATGAGCTATTTGCAGCCCCAGCGTCCGCTGGGGTTATCCTACTTGTACCCCAAACGGCATAATTACTTCTTTCGAAGGCGAGGGGAAGCTCATCCCTTTGCCGCCAAAGTGTGTGTCAAATGCCAGAAAGAGAAGCACGTTGTGGCACCTGGTTGTCGAGTATTTCCACTACCTTCGTGTACATAGACCACTCGACTCGACCCAGTAGGTTGCCGTTGCACCCTGTTTGGACATGAGCTGCTACGGATACATTGTGTTAGCTCCCGGATATGCCCTTCAAAAGCGTTAAAGGTGGTTCCAGCAACGGATGATGGAGTCAGCTTTCTCTGGTTAATGATTACAGCGTAGCCACTGCAGATTCAGCCATTCGACATGTGTATACGATGTCGTTTGCTCTGCATTACCCAAGCCGTGGAGCAAAGGAGCAAGTTGTTATGGGTTAAGGTTAGTATGCAACTTGCTACATGGCTACAAGGTGAAATACCACTTGAACCAAGATCATGCCTGACGGAGCTTTGCTCTGTGAACTATCTGTGGCCTCGGTAGTCATCAGATACCTTCCATGTTGTCTGGCAAAATGGCGTCGGGTTCAGGTTTCCGAGGGCCAGTGAACCCCAGCTTTTGCACCGAAGCACGATGAACAAAGCATGCATCAACCAGAAAACTCTCGAGCCTCAATCCCTTCATGTCTGATCATCATCTTTGAAGGAGCTGTTGAAGAAGTCGCAAGATGCCTCGAACTTGCGCGGGCTTACCTTCGCAGATGTAGAGGAGATGGAGACCATGAAGCTTGACTAATATACGGACCATATAAGACTTAGAATAGGGTCTTTGGGTGTAGCATAACGCACTCGTGATCAGGAACGCTGCGGAAAACATTCCACGATCCTTGACCCCCTGTATCATATGTTCTTTTCCTGTACTAGCTTGAACACGAAGTTGGTGTTTTTCGTGTACTGTTGAGCAAGGCTGGGGAGCTCGATTTCCGCTTGCTTCGCACCAACAAACTTGCATGCTAGACGCTGCTGTAAGCCGTTTACCCTGCAGACGCTGAAATCTGAAGATTGAAGACCTTGCAGGTGCGAACTTGACCTGATTGAGGCATTTGGAGGTTTAAGGCTCCGAGTTTAAGCAAATATACTTAGGCTCAAAGGTTTCCTGCGCAGCCATTTTCTTAGCTGCCGGAGAAGGCTTTTGGGCCTCCATTCTCATTCTGATCTTGACTCCCTCGACCCTGGCCCTATATAGACCTTCAAACATCTTTTGGTCTTCATGCCTACAGCAGGATCTGAGCTCTAAGCCCTGCCACCATCCTCAAACCGTACCTACCTGGACCCCAAGAGTATGTAGAATAATAGCCTTTTCGAGGTTTTGGGCCATTTTTTTACCTACTTTTGGGGGTTTACCTAACGCCTAGGCTCTCGAGTTTCCGAAGCCTTGTGGTTCCTACCGAGGCTGGAGGAGCTCTACGTTCGGCCCGATGAGTCTTCCGACGACGGTCCCCGGGAGGGGGAGGGGGGTTCAGGGTTTTTAGGGTTTCGGTTTTACCTAAACCCCCAAAAGTAGGTAGAAGAATAGCCTTTTAGAGGTTTTGGGCCATTATTTTACCTACTTTCGGGGTCTAGGTAGGGCTTTAGGCTGCTATTGCACCAGGTTCAGAGTTTCAGGGCTTTGGGTTACGCAGTCGGGGCCTCGGTTCCTGGCAGACCCATAGCCCAGGTGCAAAAGGGCTTAGGGTTTCCCTAACCCCCCAGGTACGTACTATATAGGGCCCTAGGGGCTCTAGTACCCTATATAGAAGGTACCTGGGGGGTTAGGGTTAGGGTTTAGGGTCAGGCTTGTGTGGCGTATGGTGTCAGGGTTGATCTCAACCTCCTTCGTGAACGTTTCGCAGCCTTCGGCGCAAGGCTGGCCAGGAGCACGCTTCTTCTTGGAGAACAGAGAGATTTCTGGACTTGTCTCTCTCAACATTACAAATATGTACTAGAGCATACCCATAGGCTCCTAAGTAGTTCCTTTTTGGGATTGCCTTATAGGACTCTAAATATAAACCATAGAAAGGAACTACTTCGGAGCCTATGGGTACTGCTCCCAAACCCTACTCGAAATATAATGGCCCTAATATGCTCCCTGAGCAGAAGAGCCATGATACCATTTCCGCTTTAGGAAGGCCAGCCCCCCAAGGCAGCGTGACGAGCGCGAGGGCCTTAGGTATCCCAAGATGCTACGGGCAGGAACTCGATCTATCTACTTACCTGTATGTATATTATATTTGTACGTAGATTTGTTTTTATACCTGTATGTATCTATATATCTCTATAAATAGAGAGAGAGAGAGAGAGAGAGGGTTTTGAGGTAATAGTAGACGATGCTCGAAACCATGAGAGTGAGGGAACCTAAGAGGTACTGTAGTACCTCTTCGGGCTAAGCCACAGCAATCCTCGACACAAAGCCATCTCTTCCATCAAGAGCGCATTGGAAACCCACGTGAGCTATGCTTCTCCAAGCCCTTTGGAGTGGAGGTCTTGAGAGGTTGAGAGTTTAGGGTCAACGGGCTTAGGGCCTAGAGCCTAGGGTTAAGGTTTAGGTTGTAGGCTTCTGCGTAACCCACGTGTAAAAGGCGTTAGGGTTAGGGAGAAATGGGGTTTATGGTTTCCAGATTGAGGGCTTTCGGTTTCTCGGGCCTACGACCTATGCAGTTTGAAGTCTCACGGTTGAGGGCTTTGGTTTTTCATAATGCTTCAGGCCAGCGTTCTCTAAAAAATAGGCGCTGGACGTCTGGATGTCAACTGCGCAACTTCAATCCGCAAGCAAAGCTGAGAACCTGAGCTGCCCCAAACCCGAAACCCTAGTTTCCCTAGCCGCCATGCGAGAGGGAGAAAGTTAAAGCCTTATGCTGTGCCAAGATGCCTTGCCTGGAGGTCCCAAGAACCTTCAGGGCATGGGCTTCCGAAGAGACCAGGCCTGGAAGGGTTGCGAGTTTTTGGCGCACTTTTCAGGTTTTAGGGTTTATAGGTTTACTGTAGGGGGTTTGTTTGTAGTAATGCCCCTTATTGTTTGTTATAGCCTTTTTCCCAAGAGGGAGAAGCTGCACAAAGAGTCCCATGGTGTTTCGTTTTTATGTGTTTACCCTATGCGATCAGGCAAATGTATGGTCGGACCTAATGGGGTTTGCGAGCTAAATCCATGATATGGTCCCTGACATAACATGACAGCATAGAATGGTGTATTCGACTGTAATTCCGAAGACTCCTGTATTACCAACTATGGTGAGGTCCTACTTTGAGGCCTGGATGGTTACATCTGGTTTTCATGGGTTTTCTGCTGGGCACTTGTTTTGCGCTGGTTTCAGTGTACAATTAAAGTTATACTTGGAACCTTTTATAATGGGTTATTGACCTCAAGACTGTTGAACATTAGACCTAGTTGTAACGGTTTTACGAAAGTTCTGGATGGTTCAATATAGGACCTTAAGAGATTGAAGACTTGAAAATTGCTTTTGGTATACACCGGAACATACGCACACATGTACAGAGGGAGTCTGGCTGGAATCCTGTATATAACTATCCCGACCTCTAGATTCAGGTGTTTCTGGTATGAGGTTTGGGGTTCTCAGCTTTACGCTGACTAATTAGTAGAATTCTCCTTCGGCTGTTTTCAGGACCCCGAAAACCCTAAGCCCCTATTCCTGGCGTTGAAGCCTCGCATGTGTAGGAGATTCGGAGGTTCAAGGGGCCTCATTTTCAGATCAGTTTGGGGAAATAGCTGATCCTTCTTCTCAGGGATTCTTCCTTGTGCGGCGTTCGCGCGATGAGTATGTAGTTTGCTCGTGGCTTCAGCTCAGTTGGACACGGATTTCCAGCAACTCTGATAAGAACTCGCCGAATAAGCTTACGAAACCAGAATAAACCTCAAAGCTACAAATCACTATGTGGAGCCTTGCCTGCCGAGTGCGAGTGTGAGAGTCGAAACCTACAAAGCATACTTGCGAGCAGATCTGTCAAACCCCAAGCCATGCGACTGAAAGCCCTGAGCCCCAAAGCCCGAATCTAGGTGCTGTGTAGGTTCTACAACCCTACCATACTTCGAGAGGTCAGGGTGTGGGTTTTGGGTTTATAGGGGCTAGGATGCTCACCTAAACCCTAAACCCTTCAGCCTGAACCCCAGAGTAAAGCCAATCAGTTTCCGTGAGGTCAGCGATCGGGGGCTGGAGGAGCTCATCGCCAAAGGTCCGAAGCTGAATGGAGCAGTCTGGACACCAAATCGCAACTGAAAGCTTCTGCAAGCTCAGTCTCTTGCAAGCTTATTTGGGGGTTTTGACCATCGCGACGTGTGCCACCCGTGCTAGTCTGGAGCAGGCTGGCAATCTTTGCGAAAGTGACCATCCCTGAACACTGAAGCCCACTTTGGCGAACTTAGGATGTAAATGTAAAGTTTAGCTCAAAAAGATCCCACCATCCAGAAGCGTCTGAGTTTGTGTTTATAATGACTCGTCCCTTTGCTGCACTGCGACACCCCAAATCCCATTCTAAATGCTTATGCGAAGGAGACTAACTTAGACCAAAGCCCAGGTCTTAGTGACGAACCACTGCCTGCGGCGCAGGCCGAGTTCAGACCAATGCACTGTTGAACGGTGCCTGGGGTCTCCATTGTAGTTCCTTTTTAGGGGCTCCCTATACGATTCAAGACGAAAGGGACTTTCAAAAACAAGATAAACCCAAGATGGACCTACAATGGAGACTATAGGTAGAGGAGTCAGGCTTTCAGCTCCCAGCTCGGTGCGGTTGCGTTTTGGTAGTCCTCCAAAGTTGCGTCCCTCTTTTCTGTGGGTTCTGTTTAATATAAGGGTGCCGTACTATTTTGGGAAGACACCCTAATTTAGAGAACTACCCATATGATGTCATGACGGGGATGTCTTCCTTAAACTTGGCTTTCAGAAGAGCAGTGCTCCGACCCCAACATCCGAAATCCCAAGCATCAGGAGCCGCCGCCGACGTGGCCCTCCAAGGAAGAGGGCGGTCCGAAGGTACAACAGAGTTCTTGTTACTATGGTGCCTTCAACAGTTGCGCAAACAGGTCCTACTGAGAAGTAGGCCGCCGCCGTGTCTTTCGCGGACGTAGGATTCGTACCAAGGCTCTCAAGGGAGGGGTGTTTGCCAATCGGATGTCTTCATTATTTCACATGCGCATGGCTTCAGCAGATAAGCTAGGAAAAGTCACATGCACACCGTCACCCCAGGCTGATGAAGACTTGACGAAAACTGTTGAAACAAGAATGCCAGACAGCCCTCGCCTAATTAGCCCTTGCGCCTCCCTCCAGAACACAATTTGCAAAACTCTCTTACCCCTGTCTTCGCAGCAAACACCAGCACAGTAATTCCTAAACCCTTAATCCTAGACCTTCGCTGATGCACACGACTGCCCAACGAAGACTTCCTTAGAGGAGCTGCAGCTCCAAGCCGGCCCTGACGATTCGAACTCCCCAACCGTTATTTCTGCTACTATTAAGATTATTATCACTATTAGCATTGTTATGAGTAGTATTTTTTCGTATTACACTATTACCATGATCTTTAAAGCTCGCATCTTAACAATTCAGCAAAGCTTCGATGTCTTAAGCATATCCTGGGAGCTAGTTTAGAGGCGTGTATGATACATAAATGCTACATTCGTTACGGTTCCGCGCGATAAGTGTGGTATACTACACTCCCGAAGATCTAGTCAAACGATCAAGGCCCCAATACCATCCGTAACAGTAACCCGCATAGCCACCCTTATCGAGCCCATTCAAGGAAGCCTCATAGATCCTTTAAAGGAACCCCAAATGGATCCCTTGCAGGAGCTCTTTATAAAGGTGCCCAGAGAGCCCGATACCCCTTAAAAAAGGAATATACCTTAAATTATAGATGATTTTAGGTATATTCCTTAATTAAGGGTTACTGGGCTCTTTGGGTAGCCTCTGGGTCAATCCGCTTCCCCCATAGGCCCCCTTAGTAGTTCCTGTTTGTGGTTTATATTTAGAATCCTATAAGGTAATCCTAAAAAGGAGCTACTTAGGGGCCTGTGGGTAGGTCAGTCCTCTCCCAAACCTTACCCGGTCAGGCAGCGCTTCAGGCTTCCTTTCGCTGCATCGGCAAGGCACATCCTCCCGGTTTAACCCTAAACCCCTAAACCCTAAACCCCTAAACCCTTCCGGTTTAGAGCTTAGGGGTTTGGAGTTTCCGGGTATTTAGGGGGTTCAGGGCTTGGGGTTCACTTGGGGTTTAGGGTTTTGGGGCAATTAAGGGTATAGGATTTTAGAGTTTGGGGGGTTTCGGGTTTAGAGTTTTGGGCTTTAGGGATAGGTAGTTGGGGTTGGGTAGGACTAAAATAAGGCTGTATAGGGGTATTTGGTGTTCACAAAGAAGCCCGAAAAGGTGCAGGCTGTTTTGCTACAGCCACAGGCTATGTTTGTAAGGGTGCGAACTTTTCATAAAACTATTGTTTTTTTGCGATCACAGGTAAATCCTCTGCGTTCCAAGCAAGATACCCAAAGCTCATCGAATTTGAATTTGGCATTTGGGTTTTAATTTTACATGATTTCTCCAGACGGTAATGAGGAGCTCGGGACCGTGAACGCCAAGTTGGATGGCGTTTCCTTGGCTGAGCCCGCTGCCAGCGAGCTGGCCACTGGGCTTTCGGTTTCAGGATTTATAGGGCCTATAGGGCCTTGTTGGCTTGTAGGGTTTACGGCCTACAGGTGTAGGGTTCTGGGTTTACATTCCCGATAGGATAGGATCCCCGTATAATTGGAACCCCTTTATGAATCATGGGCCTCGGTTTTCGGGAGTTTAAGGTTTAGGGTCATCAGCTTTCTACCTTTATCTGGCCGAGAACAGCGTGACGAATAGCATTCCATAATTCCATCTGCGTGGTCTCTGCTGAGCATTGCGCCCCCACGTCTGCCCAAGGTGCGCGAGGAGGTTTTGCGCCTGTTCGCCTCAGGCCGGGCTGCCAGTGGAATGGAGTGTTTGCTCAGTTTGCATAGGATTACAGTTGCAGTTGCAAGAGCAATGCGTAGCGGTTGTATAGTCCGGTTTTAAGCGCCGGTGAGTAAACCCCAGCTGCTGGCCCCAGCTTTGTCGTCTTTGTCCTTAACAGTCTAGATTTTCTATTGTGCTTTTCGCTGCAAGAGAAAAGAAGAGCAGAGCCAATTACAAACGCCTGCAGCCGTGTTCACACTCCTACATGGGTTCCTCATTATACACTTACGGATTAGATATTCCAGGTCCGTAGATTCGGATTTGGATCCAGGTTCCGGTTTACATCGTGAGGCTTGGGGAGGTTGGGGGTCGAAGGGTTCAGGGCTGTAGGCTCTTACTAGCTGCTAAGCCCTTTCAAGGATTCAGGCTGATGTGGATGACTGCACATTATGGTCGCTGGGGCCTGGGTGTGGACACCCACACACGGATTCGACGCTGTTCCAATTCCTCAACTCTTCAATTCCTGCGGCTTCGGGGTTAAACGTAGGGGTCTACCCCAGCTCCCTGTTCCAACTGGTTCGGCCCTTGGAGTATACTGGCAGGGCCCCAAGCTGTCCGAACTTCTAGACCAAGTCCCAAACCCCTAGAAGCCTTAATTCCCTAACCTAGCAGGTCGCGAAGCGGGTGCGAACAAATCCCTAGCCACTAAGTCTCTAAACCCCTCAACCCCTAAAATGTTCAACCCTCCTCGACTTCTTTTAGAAAGGAAGCCTTGCACTCCCCTCAACCCGCGAGCTCCCAGCCCCGAACACCCTCAACCATTCTAAAACGCCCTAGTCTCTAGTTTCCAAGCCTCCCTTGAACCCTAAACCCGGAGGGACAAAAAACAACCCTAAACCCCAAGCCTTTATTGAAGTGCTCTTCTATAGGTGGCAAGCGATTGCGACCTGCTCTCACTTTGCTCACGGCCGCGGCGACGGGAGCTTCGGAGGTCTCTGCCTTGAGCACACGCCCCACCCCAAGAACAAGAATAGTGTGCCCCAAGAACAACAAGAGTGTGTACTGGCAACAGCTTTAAAACTCGTGATAAGAGGGTTGATACCAGGTAATCATATAGTGTGAGGATAATACTCGAAATAAGAGGATTGATACTACGTAATCATATAGTATAGTATCATCTTTTGAAAACCAGCCCAACTAGAGCTTTAGGCCCGGCCGCTTTCCGGGCCAACTAGGGCTCAGGTTCTAGGGAGTGTGGTTGTCATCACTGTTATGACCGCTATACTAGCATTTTGATGGTTTACTAGTTGCTGAAGTTGCTGAAGCAGAGCCCCTGTTGGTGTGTGACAGCAATACCTACAGGCAGGCAGAATCGGACTTTGGAGCTGGGCCTGACTCAGTCATCCAGTAGGAGGCACAGGGCCGAATGAGAGGCTAAGCAAGGTCTCTGGGACCACTCAGGACCTTGACGGCAGGCTTGGAAAGCCTCTGCCCGTCCAGGGGTTTTGCATATCAGCAGGCATGTATCCAACCCATACCGAAAGGGCACGGTCGCTACTTTCTGTCAGGGGCTTCCGAAACGCTAACCACGAACCTGGGTGTCTAACCCTAAAAAACCTGAAGCGCCCTAAACCCGAAAAGGCAGCCATGGCCAATGTTGCTGCTCTGGCGGCAGCAGTGGAGGTCTTGCATTCCGCCTCCCTGGTGCATGTTCCTCGGACCTGGATTTTTTGGGTTTTGGTGTTTAGGGTTTCGGGTCTTGGTGTTTAGAGTTTTGGCTGTAGTTGAAAGGGGTTTAGTTTAGGCCCTAAGTTTAGGCTTTTGGGCCTTGAGATCGGGTTCGACGCCCGATCCTGCCGTTTTGGCCTTGCACCCCTTCAGCCCTTGGGAGCTTTAGGTTTCAGGGTTTCTGTCCGAAGCCCCGAAGCCGTCGGAGTCGTTGCAGGCCAGTTGCAAAATGTCCGAAACCCCCAAAAACAGGTTTGGTCATGAAGCCTACGCCTCCCGTATGGGATGCGGAACCCAAACCCTCAACCTCAACCCGGGATGACAATAATCCGTACCACTGCAGTCAGCGTAAGCCCAGAAAACCCAAACCCCTACCCGAATGAGACCATGGGACCATGCAATCCCCCTGGCCTTAGCCTATGCATTTAAGACCATAGGGCCTTCGTGGGGAAGTGGAAGTCTGTGTGGACGGAAGGTCGGACGATTGAAGCTGAGTGATCGACAAACAAAACACGCACCGAAGCCGAGGACGACATCCTCGACGATGCCGACAAGCGCCGCGGTGAGGCGACCGCTGTTCAGTGCGGATTCGAGGATGTTACCATGGCCTGAATATCTAGATAATGTATGCAATTGCCACCCGGTACATTTAAGTTGGATCCAATCCGAACGAAAGCTGGTCCCATAGTCTAGTTGTCGGACAATCAAGCAGCAAACACGGCACACCCTCAACTTCAGCGTGCTATAGAACATAGACGAAGTCTTCAAACCACAAACTTTAGGCCCTAAACTCCCCAAAACCGAGAAACCCTGATCAGGAGACAGCCCACCTGCGCCTTGGCGAGCGAAGTGCCACATTGGTGGGTGACTTCCTGTCCGCCGCCTGCAAAATCTTAGGGCTTAGATTTTTGGGGATCTTGTTTTTGTTATTTTTTGGGGTGGATTGGTGTTAACGGCTTACAGGGTTTAAGGGCTTATAAGGGGTTATGTAGTAATCCGTTTGCCTCAGGCGCCTGATTCATAGGCATGTGAGGAGGCAGGAACCCTGCCCAGGAAGCCCACCCCTTTCTGTTGTGATCCCTCCCTCTCGGTCCCCTCAGGGTTCTCTGTTAGGGCGGTGGGTTTGTATGTACAGCCGAGCCGTAGCCAGACACCCGACCAATAGAAGTGTATGGAATAAGTGTCTAAAGAAGTTATACTTGGTAATCCTACACGCAGCTTGTTTTGAGGATTCTAGCACGGTTTCAGGGTGCTTGGGGACTCATGGACGGTCATGAACGTATCAAAAGCGCTAGATGCAGGAACGACTAGAGTATTGGGCATGTAGCGGTCAAAAAAGGTTGTTCTACCTAGCAAGAACGTCAGCAGAGCCCCGCCTTGTCCCTCCGCTCAACCGGTGCATTTTCTGGGTTGCTCGAGCTAGCCTTATAGGGTCTTAGAGTTTCCGGCTTTTGGGTGTAGGGCTACGGTTCAGGGTTGTGTTTTTTAACGGCTCATCGGAGTGTGCTTCGCCAGGTTTGCCACGGCCTCCGTGCTCGTAGCAGAGATTGGCAGCCTTCCAACCGTGTTGCTGATTTCGAAGGCCACGGCCCTCAATGATGCAGTCGACCATTACATGTGTGCAACACCTATGCGCACATACATACAAACATACAGACGTACGCATACATACATAACAGGCCTACACGCACACTTGGGGAGGTTGCCTAAAAGAGCGGTTAA